ATGTTGTCGACAAACCTTCCTCCCTGTCTTCAATTCACTCTGCCAAACTGAACAAACTCAGCAACATTCCTTCTTCCATTCATTTTAGAAGAAGAAGCAATAGAAGAAAATGTAGCAGGGACAAGTTTTGCCAAAATGACTCCCATCAAGGAGCTGCATCTATCTTCTGAAAATCTAACTAGATGAGACTAAATTTAGTTAATTAGATCTTTGCTGATAAAAAAATAGCCAATGAGACACCACCATAAAAGAAACTGACTAAATGAAAATGGAAGTTCCACAAAAGAATCAATATTTGTGACAATATATTATGAAATGAGCTGCACATCCTATTGCAGATTGACTTAAAAGGTTGAAAATTGAGATTACTGCATCATCGCCAGTAGTGACTATCAATATCGACTGCCCAATAATAGAAGCAGCTGGATTCAAATAACAGAATAACTTCAAAAAGTTACTAGAAATGAACTACAATCAAGTAGGAAGAAATGCAAAATGAAACAAGGAAAAGAACTCTTTTATGTTTAAACTGTTTTCTAGAAAGCATGTAGCAAATAGCTACTCATGAACCTTAGACCATTAGAAGAACTCCTATACAAACCATTTGTGAACTAATTACAGCAAGTTACATAAGGAATCACCTGGAGTTACATCAATGGAGGAGGCATTTATACCAGTGATTGTTGCATCAATATATATAGATCCATACTCATTGACATTCCATAACTAATACGAAAATCTCCTATAAAAATTTTCTGGATTGTCTTGAGCCCCTCTTGTTGGGTTTCTGGTCCCAAAAATGAGACAAGTTTCTTGAGACTACCTTTGTTGAAACAAACTCGACATCACCAGAAGGGATGAAAAGATAAAATTCATCAAGATAATACTATATTAATGACAGCAGGTGAAGATGCTTTTTCACGTTTCAACAATAACTCTTTGGCTTTGGCAGCAAATTAGGTACTTGAATATCAGAGTCAACAGAAAAAGCAAGTACTTCAGCCATGATAAGAGAAACCTCCTCTGAGGATGTGTGTTTGGATCATCTCTCTCTTAGTTTCA